TTCCATGCTCTGGATATCCCTAAACCTCCGACTGCCAGAAGCTGACAGGGGATGGATCACGCAATAATTGCCGGGTTTTGTTCATTCCCTCTGAAGTGTCTGGCACCAGCCATTGCCCGAAGATAAGATACTAAGCTAGACGGACCATTAGTTTGACTCAGTGTGGTCATTCTTATGGTCTTATGAATTACATGATTAAGCAGTGAATGTTGTGTGGCACAGCCATAGCCAATTTTATGGTAACAGTCAGCCCCCTGAAAAGAGGATCACAACATTAGGTAGTTTCAGTAAACACAGAGAAAGAAACAGACCTTGGTGTACGAGGCTGGAATTTTCTACAGTTGGTTATTTAAGTGTAAAGAAAAAAAGAAAACAATAATTTAGAGCTATATTGTGTGTGCTGCATGGTGATGATAATAGGTTTCATATTTAACTTTCTAATTTAGTAGTTATGTGTTTGCTGGATGGATCTTTAAATATGGATTTTGGAGTAACAGTTACTGAAGTGTTTATCCTGAATGTGACTAAAGAGGGACAACATAAATACTAGAGAGACAAAGATGTTCCTGTGTCACAAAATTGGGATCTGAATCTAAACTTCTGCAAAGTTCAGGGGTGTTTGGATTCAGGGTTTCTGTGCAGGCCCATCTCTAGCAAACACATTTGCCTTTCACTTAGCTTTTATAGTTTGTCTTACTGTATTTACTAACTGTCAGATATTTAGATTGAAATCAGGGTTTGCCTGAAGGTGTAATGCTGAATTTGTGGCATTCCATTCCTTTTCATGTTAACAGACTGTGACCTCACAAATACAGGATTATGTGGATCAAACAGAAGGCTTGTTCAAAACACCAGCATCTGACCTAATCGTAAAAGGAAAAGAAAAAACATGACTAACCTAGAAAACTGCTTTTTGTCAGAATGTTCTTTTCATTTTTTTCTTCCAGTGTGGAAGTCAGTCTATGATAGGAAGTTCTGTAACTACTACTACTTTAGGAGGTCAGTATTTGGCCCTGCTCCTGGACACACCTTTGCATGTGCTTAACTTGACTTCTGTGGGACTAGTCACATGCTTAGGTGTTTGCAGAATCAGGGCAATAGTGAGGCCTGGTACTTTGCTAAGTAAGAGAAATGCTCTAAGCAGCTCGTGTGTCAGTCTTAATTTAAAACAATGGTATTTTGGGTTTGTTTTTTGCCTCTTAATCTAAGGCCCAACCCTGCTCTCACCGTATGCTGTGGGAACAGGATTGGGCCCTTTCTCCTTTTCTGGAGAGTGAACTATTATATACCAATTTATTCCAGGAATGGCTTTTTGCCATTTAATTTTTCTTCCCTCTTTTTCCCACTTACAGCCCCCCTTCAGAATAACACCTACCCTTCAACTAGTATCCTCTGAAGATACTCGTTAATGCTATTCCATGGACAGGCCATCAGGGAGTGCTCTAAAAGCAATGTCCCCTGTATCCTTCTGGGAAGTGGAAATCTTTTGATCAGTGATGAGGAATCTAGATTATAATCACAATATCATAATGTACTGCTATTAGCCCCTACTAGTATGGGGCCATTTCCCTCATTCTTGCATGACCAGAAGTTTTGTTTCTGTTATTAGTTTAAGTTTGGGTTTTTCAAATTCTCTTTCCAGCTGAATAGATGTAAGACTGTGAAATCAATAAATTGGATACCAGTCTGACATGTGAATACACATCACCTGATACTTGTTAGTTATAAAAAGTCTATTAAAATGCCAGTTGTGTATTGTTTCTAAACCAGAGATTTATTTTGTGTAGAATAACTCAGAAGTATTCCTTAGCTGGATGCCAACTGTTCCTAAAAAACAACAAGGAGTCATGGACTCCTTGTTGTTTTTGTGGCTACAGACTAACACGGCTACCCCCTGATACTTAACTGTTCTTAAGAATTTTGATTGCTTTCAAGTTTTCTTTAGTTTTTACAACTTGGGGTATGTATATACTCTAATAGAATTCTGCATGCAGACAAGATACAGGACCACATTCATTGCTTGCATATAACCTTTCTCGTGGAATCCACTATTGTTTAGCTATTTTGTATAATTGTTCTTCAGTTATAAACTGAATGATACCCTTGATAGAGACAATTTCTGTGCAAAGTACCATATATTAAAACCTCATACAATGGAACTTTCTTATGCAAGAAATAGCTATTCGTCTCACTATTTCACTAGCAGTGGAGAGAAACACTGAGCTGACAGACATCGTAGGCTATGTTGGGCTAGTAGATCTTGCCTCTGAGATGAAGAATGGGTAGCAGGGAAGAAAACTCCCTGCATATAAAACAATCCACCCATTTAAAACCTTGCACTGAGAAATGTAGGCCCTAACCTGATGATACTAACTTTGGGGATAGTGCTGGGTGCTTTGAGGTCATTGATACACTTTTGCTGCACTGATACTGTTCCGCTGTTTACCCGGCACTGTCCTTATATCTCCTACATACACACAGCAGAAGTGCTTGGAATGCCAGTTCAGGAGGGCTTATGGTACGAGAGTGTCCAACAGCACTGTCAATACTAGGGTTAGTACTGGAGGACACAGAAAAGCACATTGCACAGACAGCAAGGAAGGCCCCAGGTATCCTGTGATTCTTGGTTGTGGAATTGGCCCCTGAAGCTACCCCCAGAGGCAGGTCTGTGCAGCAGTATCCAAACTATGACTTATTTTAATGTTTAGCTCTTAAGGATGTGGAGAAAACTTTAGAAATGTGAACTGAATGTAAACTAATGCAACGATATCTTCATGCACTTGAAGAAAGCCCTAAGCAACAGCTTGCATAGACGTGTACAGTCTTGGTCATCTCAATTGGGGAATGACTTTGAAATCTAACAAAAACCATTTAAATACCAGCAATTGATAACTTTTTCACTGCCAGTCTATGTACTTATCACTCAGGGGATGCAGTCGCAGATATGGAGGTGGAGGTGACAGTTGGCGGCTGTCAAGGGTTGCTTTTCTAGCCCAAAAGTTAAAATCACCTTTGACCCTGCTCACAGAGGGAAGGGAAAGAGTTATCATCTCCCACTACCCAAATTCCCAACCGCTTCCTAGGTGCAAAAGACTGTAGAAATATTTTCACGCATTCCTAGGACCAAAAACCCCAGTGGTGACTCATCAGCTTCCAAACTTTCCATTTCATCTCACAATTTGCCAGTGCAGTTTTGCGTTGTTAATACTAAATCTGTGCAAATGGGTAACTTCAGAAATAATGTAAAATAAACTGAACGTAATATCCATATAAATAATGCAAGGAATGTCATCGTGATTCGAATATTTATGTTCAAATTGAATGCAATAGCAACATCTACATTTTAATTTACTTGCAGCTGACACCAAACTTTAAGTTTCCCACAGAATTTAGCACCAAAGTGCTACAGACAGACACCAGCTGCAGAATTTCAGTTCTGCTGGCTGCAAAATATACAGTGCCTTGGTAAGGGCTGTTCCTAGGGCAGTGTGGGGCCTGGGTCGGAAGTGACGGATTCGTCTTCCAGGACTGATCCCGCCGGCCAATTGCACCGGCCCACAGAGGCCCCCAAAACGCGGGGCCCGGAGTGGTTGCCCCGATTCGCCCTACTCAAAGGATGGCTCTGGCCTTGGTCATAAGTGAGAGTAGCTTCTGAAGAATCAGCATTAAAAGGAAAATGGCAGAGGTGAGCTTTAGTACCTCAAATAACTAATAGTTATTAAATAAGTATATAATAAACGTGAAGTTTCAAAGGTTTTTCAATATTTCTATAAGCTGTCACTAGTCTTTCTGACTGCTGCCTATGGACTGATAAGTCCCAAGCAGGTGGTTAAGTCTGATGAGGTCAGCTAAACATAAAACCAAGATTTTCAAAAATGATCTCTCAAAGTTAGGGTCCTATGTCCATATTAGGCACCTAAATTGGTAGCCTGATTTTCTGAACTGCTGATCACCAGCAGCTCTCGTTGCTATCTGAAAATGAGGCCACTTATTTAAGTGTTATGACAAAGAAGGTTAACTTTAGTCATCAAGTTTTGAAACTCTTGGTGAAGATGTTCAGCTTATCATTTAAATGCATGAGAAGGTTGGGAGAGTGAAAATTATACCATTTGTTATTCCTTTGAAAAAGGTTTGATTCCGATACGTACAATTTTAAAATGATTAATTTTAAAAAAATTAATCCAATGTTTTAAAGAAAGGATAGAACTATCCTTACAGTGACTTTACAATTCTCCTGACTTCCTTATGCTTTCAAAGGGTGAGCTACATTTTCTCTATCTTAACCTCCATCGGACCATCAAGATAGAATTCTCCTCTTTGACTATGAAGATGTTGTATTTAAGACAATGAAACATTTTTAATGATGCTAGATCAATTCATACCCTCCGAAAGTAGCTGTAATGCCACTGAAATCAGTGGTGTTGCACACTGGTTCTATGTCTCTTACTCTCTGTAGTTAGATGTAGATATTAGAATACACCTCATATTTCAGCTTTCCTTTAAGAGATTGTGCTGAGGCATTTCTCCTATAATATAAAACAAACCTGTGGAGATTCTAGCTTTTGCTGTGGGCCAAAATAACTTTCATCCAGCCCCAGAAGTGGGACACTGAAAGGGTGGCCTAAAACCACCATTGTTCCCCCTTCATGTCAGATGTAAGAATCAGGGTGTAAGGATCCACTGACTTCATTGGACTTTGGATCAGACCTAAGTATCAAACATTAGAACACAAAAACAGAGGTACCCAAAACTGGAGGTCACTTTTTTAAATTTGTGGCCTAAAATATTGTCCAAAGCCAGAATGGGTGTTTGTCAAGGCAATGTTTGGAATCCAGGATTTCTTGGCTCCTGTTCCTATGCTTAGACCATGCCTCTGCCTGTATTGCTTCAGTTTAGCCAAAAGTATTTCAAATAATATTGTACTCACAACACAAATGTAAATGCTATCAGAAATCTATTTGTTTTCATTGACTGCTATCAGAAAGACAGACTGTTGGTACCTGCAGAAATCTCCTTCTGCCTCTGGCAATGTCAGAGAAGCCACAGAGTTCTTCATCAGATCTGTCACAGTGTTGTCCTTTGAAGTCACATAAAAGAAAGGTATTCCAGTGCTGTTATTGATGGGCCCATCACTGATTAGTAAACAATTCCCAAATGGTACACCTTGGATCTGAGAAAAGCCAGACAATCAATGCTTTAAAACTTTGCATTTATACATTGTACACAAAGATGGGGACGTACCCAAGGTCAGTAGCAGAAATGGGAATAGAACCTGTTGTTCTGGCTCCCAGTTTCCATTCTCACCACTAGACCTCATTGTTTTCTAAATTAGATTTACTTATCATAGTGGTATGGTAACAAATCTCTCTTCCCTCCCCCACCCCGCATGGTGATATGCAGAACTCCTTTTCTTTAAATTGCCAACTTTTTAAAAGAAACTAGCAAGTACAAAAACATGTCTGCATTAAAAAAACAATTATGAAAGCATCTGCCCCAGATGGCACTGATATCTTTTCTCAGGAATCTAAAAGGATTCGTATTCCATTTCAGATTTTGATTCATTCTGATTTTGGACCCCTCTGCACTGAGGTCTTAGCCGTGCTTTGAAATGTGGCCACATTGACTGGCTAAACTATAGTAGAAACCATTTTAACTAGAACTATGATTAAAATTAAACTGAATTTAAACACAGTTACAGACAACTCAGCATGGATGGGGCCTATAGGCCATCTAATCCACAGTCAGTAGCAAAACTTCCATTGACATGCATGGGCACAGGAGCAGACCTTACTGTGCCAGTTTTTCAAAAGTTGGCTCTCCTTTCCCCTGACTTGCACTTGCACAGTGGATATTCCATGTGCAAAAATCTGCCCCCACTTTTGGAAAGGAGACCTTGTGGTTGTAGCTCTATTGCCTAGGAATGACAAAGGATAATTTTCTCTATAACGTGATAATTGTATCTGATGTATCTGTATGTCTCTCATCCCCTCAGAAATCACAGTAGCCCATCTAGACCTTGTATTGTGTTTTGTTTTTTGTTTTTTTTTAATATATCTTCAGGTATGTAATTCCAAATGGCCAATTAGATGTTGGATATTAAAAATAATAATCAATATATTGAGCTAATTCAGTATAACCAATGGGTTTTTGTAACAAAACTAAGTTAAACATGAATAGTTATGGAGAAAACCATGGGTGATACTAACCTGGATCACGTGCTTTCCATTTTTTGATGCTTATACACTTTTAATGTTTATATACAATCTATACTGCAGATGATAAGGGGTATTTTTTATGCAAACACATATCTAGGAAACCAACCAATCTGATTAAGAATTATAAAATAAAAAATAGAAGCTGTGAATAACATTAGAAATTTCAATCACTTAAATTTGAATCTTTCATACATGGTTAACTTTACAGTTCACATTCAAAAAGGAACTCTGAGTCTAGGCCACGTAACTCAAAATTCACAGCAAAGACGACAGACCCATGAATTACATGTTTTATTATGAATCCATTTTTCGCTATTACTTATGTATTATAATTATGGACAGCAAACTGCACATATTTTATTAAGACTGTAATTCCATCAAAGGGTTCTGATGAGAGTATAAACCATAGCAGCTAAGATCATATGATTTAATAGCATATTTGGAATCCTGAGATGGAATTAGAGACTTCAAATGTACAACTGGGAATATTTTATTAATAATTTTTCTAGCTTCTGACGCTTTGCATTTCACAAACTGCCAGGCTGCTGCTTCTTTAATAAATCTTCCCAGAAGTTTTACTGGCTGCTAACTTTTACTTTCTTTTTTTTTTAATGTAACTAAAAAAATTAATCCCTAATTTGTGGACATTTTAACAAGAGAAGTAATGTTAAACTCACTTTTCCTGTGTGTCAGTATTATTGAAAGCTATGTATAGTTCAAAACCATCTTTTTTTAGAAGTATTTTACAGCTGGAAAAATAATGGCCCAAATTCTGCCCTGTAGGCCAGCTGCTCAGCATCACACCGCTGACAAAATGGTCCTGAAGTGGGTACAGATGGTCAAAGTCAGATAACCCCCATCAGTGGCGTAGCTAGGAATCTGGGTGGGCCGCAAATTATTATGGACGGGCACTATTCCACCCACACCTTCCCTTACAGACACGGCTTTGCTTTTGACTGACTAAAGTCTTTTCAAAAATTGTCTATTTGCCCAATAGGATGCACTATTTAAAAAAATGCCAGTATAAATTTACTTGAACTTTGCATTGAACTGCCCCAATATGGGCAGAGGCTCCCTGAGCTCCATGGAACCAGACCAACATGGGCAGAGGAAGCTGAGCTCTGTTCCTGGACCCCCACAGAGCTGGCCCGACCAGGGCAGAAGAAGTTGGGCTCTGGTACCGGGGCCCCATGGAGCTGGCCTGACATGGGTAGAGGAAGCCATATTTGAATGGGCCCATATGCGGCTGCGGCTCACCTGTGGCTACGCCATTGACCCCCATGCAGGCATATCTTCGAGGCTTAGCACCAGTGCTGCAGTTTCCACCCCACCCCTAGTGCAGAGAATATAGCGGAAGCAAAGGGGCGCAGCTGGCATACTCCTTATATCCTGCGGATCTCTGGCTACTGTATCAGCCCTTTGGGGTTGTTGACAGCCAGCATTAGTTATAGCAGTCTTTAGGCTGCTCTGTATTATGCCGGGGAACCAGCAGGACACACAGCCAGTTCAGAATTGGGGGAACATAAAGGCATCCTTCCTTGAGCTGTGTAGTGTGGGCTCCGTGGCCTCAACAGAGGATCTAGCCCAATGTTTTTCTCTTCTTTTTCTGCATCTTGCCAGGAGGTGCTGTTCTTTAGCATCTCTCTTCTATTGTACTGTAAGCATGATTTCTATTCCTAGAAATCTTTTGCAGAGAAGCAAAGCTGTGAATGTTGCTTAAATATGTGGCACCAGCACTGTATTTTTACAGGCTGATTAATATTACTGACAGCTTTTATTATCTGCATATTTTATAGCTGACATCAGTACATGGTTGATTATAAGACAGTAAATAGTGTTCTTCATAACAGTGCTGGGATGCTGTTATGTAGTTTTGCATTATAATAAATCGCTAATGCTAGTAAAGAATTTGTGTAATTTATATACTAAATGCTTTCTCAAAACAGATTATTTACTGCCTTTTACAGAACAGTAAAATACAAGCAAGCAATGTGCAAGCCCTCTCCCGCTGTTAGTGGGTAAATAAGTCCAGTAGTCAAAGAGAATTCTCAATGTCTAGCAGAGGATGTGACTTACAGTACCTTTTCCTGGGTGGACTCGGTAGCCAAGAAGCCCCAGCCGTTATAATGGGTCAGGAAACGGGCAGTTCTGATTGCCTGTTCCTGAGGAGTAATGCTGTCTGTCCCTTTGACACTCTCTCTCCTGTAGGAAAACATCCTAGAAGGAGAAGAGATTTGCTTGGATCTCCCAGCCACTGGCCTTGACCTCATTTCCCCATCTTCTTTGTAAACAGAGGCTGGGTAGCTCTGCTTCCAGATGCTAGTCGTGTCTTCAAGAAGCGCAGGGAGAGCCTCCTCGTTTGAGGAGCTGTCCAGTTCTTCCTCCACCTCATTGGTAACTGACCACGAAACCCAGTTGACTATCACATACCCCCAAGCAGGAGACAGCATCACACTGCACCACAGAACCCAGGAAAGCCAGGATATTGGTGTAGTCCTTTTCGTCAGCTGTATTTGACAGCAGCACACAGACATTTTGTAATAAACACTCCACGCTAAGATCCACACTGAACCTTGCAAAGCCTGAACCTTTGGAATGATAGCAGCACCCTCCTGTGGTGAAAACTGGCTCAGAGATGGATTAGATTGAGTTTACACTCTTGCTAAAGCATCAACAGCCTGTATAATCTCCCTGCATAGAAACTCAACCCTGCCACCTGAAACAAAAGCTTAGGCAATATTGCTAAACAAAAGAATTTGGCTAGAATTCAGCTGGAAAGTATGTATCAACAGAGCCTACTGAACATACAAGAAATGTATTATAATTTCCACAAAATAATTCTTCTCCGTCAAAAGTCTGGCAATGACAAGCTAAAGGATGCAGCCACTTCAGTCATGCCAAATATACCTTTTCCATTTACTATCTTCTCTCCTTCCCCTTCACTGTACACTATACCCCCCCGCCCCATGTTCTAAGCTGATTTGTTGGATAGTTGCAAAAGAAATAATATTCTATAGATTTAATCTAGACTACAGATTTAAAAACTAATTTAGTTCCATCGTGCAGTAGTGTTTGTCAGAACTCCACACACATTTTCTGCTAGTATAGATTAACTGAATAAGAAGATATTTTTATGACAAAAGGTAAAACATTATCTTTGGGATTATGGAATGTGATGAATGCATGAGGCCAAATTTTCCATTGATTTACATCCCAGGTAATCTCACTGATTTAGTGGAATTTAACAAGGTGTAGATCAGTGTAGAAATTGTCCTACCTTTTTAGATTTATGTATCCTTTGTTAATTGGTATGTTTACCAACTAAGACCCTGATCCTGCAAAGATTAAGCACATGCTTAACTTTATGCACTATGAGTAGTCCTATTAAGTACAGGCATAAATCTTTGAAGGATTGAAGCTCAACATTTGTAATTTATTTTTTAAAGTAATTGTGTACTATCTGTTAGCATTATAGCACATTGGAAGTAGACTCTTTGCTAAGGAAATGAAATTTTACTATCTCTTAGTAATGTGTTATTAACTTTTCATTATATTTGTGCAAATTATTAAAGGGGGCAAATTTAAGGTTGGGCAAGGAGGTGTAATTTTCATCAGAGACTTTTCCTTTCATTGGAGACTCAGATACATTTTATAGGTCCTAGTCTCTTACAGTTCTGAAGAGTGGATGTCCCAGTTCAGGTCTTAAGTAGGTCTCCTGTTCCATTACATGATGAACTGTCTTGTGAGAATACGTGGCATTTCTAATCTCAAATATGAACTTTTATAAATAAAAGTGAACTGAAATCACTTGAACTATTAAGTATTTTTCACTTAAGTGATGTGGTGCTATTTATCACAGACTCACAAATCTGCAATATTTCATCTTCATATTTACAAGCACATCTGCAAAAGTGGTGCAAATAGGAGGTATTCTTAAACAATGGCACAAAGGCTTGCTTTTCTGACCCTCAATCCCCTTCTTTCCCCAACATATGTAAGATCTCCAAATTTTTAATCTATCCCCACAACAGAATGAACCCCGACTCTTTTTCTCTAGCAAATAACCCCAACCTGACCCTTTGTCAGGCTATCCGACTGTCCTCCTCACTTTTGAGTTCCCTCCCCATGGCTGGGCTGAGAACTACTTGGAGGCAGATGAAAGATAAGTGACAATTTCCAAAAGCAGAAAGAGGGAATATCAGGGGAGCTCAAATCAAGTAGCCTTCCCCTGCCTCCCAGTTTCTTGCAATAGTGAGTTACATTCTACATGGTGAGATCAACTTCCTGTACTAATGCTTCTTAAAATGATTTGAAAGAGCTAATTCCCAAGTGTTGCCCTCATCACAACTAGTCAGTCTCCCAAAGCAAATGCTGGTGATATAAATTTAGTATCCTGAAGAATACTACAAATTTTATATATATTTATTTCCAGTATTTCCCAGTATTTTCTGTATAATTCTATTTATGTGGTGGTCAGACAGCTAATTGAGACAATTCTGTGTTGGACATATGGGAAAATCAGTTACATATTATAGGGCCTATTCTGTCTTAATAACAAAGTATGTGAGATACTGACTCCACAGTATTCTGCAGAAATGGGAAGTTCAGCAGGAGTTTTTCCAAAGATTCATGGCAACGCATATCCATGGATCTGAGATTAGAGCAGAGCTCTGTATAAATTGAGATACCTAGCATAATAGGATATGTCCAAGACAAAATGGCAGCCTGAACTCTGGTGTCCATATTGTAGACACAAAGGAGAATTTTGATGGGGTTAATAGTCCATTCCATAGTTCCTGTTGACTTTCTTTGGCATTGTGGTTTCAGGTAGGTCTTTAACATTATTGATGATAGAGCTATGAGAAACAGAGAAGAACAAAAACCAAGCAGGCAGGTACATTCCATGTTAGGATTTCTTATATATTTACTCAAATAAGCCAAACAGTTAAATACATCAGAACTTTAAATAATAAATAAATAAATAAATAAATAAATACTTTAACACAGTTCTGCAGCTAGTATTTACAGAAAAAAACTCTTTCATTTCACAGAAAAATAAAACATTTTTCTTAAATCTATATTAAGCATACAGATAAGTACAATAAATCCCTTGTAAACAATTCTTATGAGTCTGTTTGGATTTCCCTCAAACACTAGTGCAACTCTGCTGTGCATCACAGGTGCGAAGAATAAATTTCTGTCCATCTTTCAGAGTAACAAGTGCTTCCTTTCCAACTGGAAGATGTAGTTTAACTGAACTTTTAGTTGCTTTGTCTTCCAACATGACCTGGATGAGCTGCAAATAAAACATGGAAGTGTAATTATTATCACTGTGGAGAGTGATCCTCCTGCTATTGAATAAAATGTCTTTTCTGTTTCAAGGGCCTGCTCCTGCAAACACTCATGTTTAGAAGAAGGATGATCCAGTGATTTGGGCACTAGCCTAGGGCATGGGAGACCCAGGAGTGAGTCCCTGCTCTGCCACAGCCTTCCTATGTGACCCTGGGCAAGTCACCTAGCCTCTCTGTGCCTCAGTTCCCCCATCTGTAAAATGGGGATAATAGTATTTTCCTGCCTCACAGGTGTATTGTAAGGATAGCTACAATGTAGACAGTGAAGTGCTCTGAACTGTCCTAATGCAAAGCACTGTATAAGAATTAGGTATTATTATGCCTGTGAATAACTTTGTGCACATGATTAGTGTTGTTGAATTCAGTGAGATTATTCATATGCATAGGTGCTTTCAGGATTGTGCCCCCGAATTTTTTACCTTTTCATTTAATTAAGTCTCCTCATAGCATGGGATATGTTTCTTAGAATCACCAGACTAGCCTTCAATATAATAATATATAATTGTACATACCCTGCCATATCCCCTCTCAATCTTCTCCTTTTCAAAATGAATAACCCTGGTCCTTTCAATCTTTGCTCCTGTGGCGTACATTGTTAGGGTGAAAATCTTGGTCTCGTTAAAGTCAATAGGACTCTTGCCACTGACTTCTTTGGGGCCAGGTTAACCTTGCCTCTAATCATTTTAATTAACACATTTATATCTTTTTAATAGAGTATTTGAGATGAGGACACACCATTGATTTCTATAATGCAGTTAACTATTTCCTTATTTTTTCTATCCATTTAACAAATCAAAGCATTTGATTTGCTTATTTGCCATTGTTGTCCATTGAGGTTATAAGACACCTAGGTCTCTTTCCTGTGATTTACAGTGTACTGCATGTAATGTAGGTGTAGAACTGACTACGGCACAGTGCTCTGCAGATAAACCTACTGCAGGTGGTGCAGCTGGATGGGATTTTAATTTGGTAACAGGTAAACAGAGGAAGCACAGAGTGTGCAGGCTGGGGTTTTATGGATGAATGAACATTACTCAGGCTGAGGGAAAGACAGTGCAAGCTCTGTAATAAGCACCTTGATATTTACCCATTTTCCAGATGATTATTATTAATGATGATGTTTATGTATTCAGAACTGTGCTGTGACTTTCAAAACAGAAGTAAAAACATGGTCCCTGTGCCAAAAATGGTAGTCTACATTCAACATGAAGCAGCAAGTGAGGGTCACAAACAGATAGAGATGGGAGGGAAGAGGAAGGACAAGGGTGATAATAATATTACAGTTACTCAGCAAGACATAGACACCAAATGATGGTTCTGATTCAAGGGTTTTTATTTAGGAGTATTATTCCTACTCCTTCCTCTCACTTCTTGCAGGCTTCACAGAAGAACTGTGTTTTCAGCAGTGACTTCAAGAAGATGACGGTGGAAGTGTGACAAATAGGTTTTCCAAGCATAGCAGGCTGCTTGGAAGAAAGCATGGAGACGCCTGTGAGAGAAGAAGATGAAGAGTATGGAGACTGGTGTTGGCAGAGCAGAAGGGGAAGAAGTAAAAGGCAGAAGGAGACCAGTTCAGAGATATTTGCAGAGGCTGCATAAGGTAGGGGTTTGCGTGCAAAGGTAAGAAATTTACCCTTGATATACAGAGGGACAGGAAACCAGTCAAGTGACCCACAGAGGGGGTGATATGGTTGAAGGGATGAGTGAGGAAGGTGATTTTGGCAGCAGCATTTTGGACAGGAGGGACGGAGAAGTTTCGTGTTAGAAACCCAAGAGGAGGCATTTGCAATAGCTGAGGTGGGAGAAGACAAGGTTTATGTCAAGAAATCTGGCTGTTCCAGAGACACGAGGTGCCAGCATCACCCACCACTATGTGGCTCCTCACTACCAGCTGACTTCTTATAACCTTCTTGGGCTGGAGCTCCAAAAGCCCCAGCTCCCTTCTAGTTTCTGCAACAGTCGCAGTAGTGAACACAGCACCAGCAGCACCTTTACAGACCCTGTTTTTCGTGGTCCAGTGATATCAAAACCTGCATTCTAAAGTGATTTATTTTTTGAGGGAGTAGTAGAGTTGGGGTGACAAGAGAGGGTTGAGGGGGGTATGTGAAAGTAGGAGCACGGGGGAGAAGGCAGGAAAATGCAGAGTAGAGTTGTCATAAATATAAAGGGAAGGGTAAACCCCTTTGAAATCCCTCCTGGCCAGGGGAAAGCTCCTCTCACCTGTAAAGGG